GTCTCCATCCACAGGTGGGGAGCGCTCGGCAGCAGGGACTGCTGGTGCGTGTCCCTCTGTCCCTCTCTTCCTGGGCTTCCGGCCTCTACATTGGAATGTTTCAAGGCCTAGGAGTGACAGGACATGGTCAGCAACCCTGGCCCGGGTCCTGCCCTCTGGGTGACCCAGGCCAAGGTCTCCTACTCAGAACAGGACACAGTCACGGGGCTGCCACTGTCGGGAAAGGCCCTGCCCATGCTGACTCTGCACATGAGAAGCGTCCGAGAGCACTGGCCAGCCTGGGGAAGACATAGCCCGGCCCCAAAGACCCCACAGCCACCAGGTACCTCCAACAACCAGGTGTGAGTGGTTTTTTTTTTTTTTTTTTTTTCCCTGAGACAGGGTCCTATCTGTCACCCAGGCTAGAGTGTGGCTGTGCAATCATGGCTCACTGCCACCTTGACCTCCTGGGCTCAAGCGATCCTCCCACCTCAGCCTCCCAAAGTGCTGGGATTACAGGGATGAGCCACCACACCCAGCCTGCGAGTGCTTTTGAGAATGTCTCTGAGAGGCGTCCTCAGGCTGGGGACTCAGGCAAGGGATGGGGTGTCCCAAAGCAGGAGCCAGGAATCCACTCAGCAGCAGAAAGGCTCATCTCCACAAGCCCCCTCACTCCACGGGGCTGCCTCTGCCCTCCTCTGTCCCCTCATGCCCCTACAGACAGGCCAGGGGCAAGCAGGACGGCCTCAGGGCAGGTCAGACCTGGGCCTGCAGGGCAGACCCTGGACCTCTGCCAGGGCACCCCATACCCACCCCTCGTAGGGAGGGCTGGGAATGGGGGCTGAGGGCTGCCTTAGTGCCTGGGCAAGGTGGCTATGCTTGGATTTACATTAAATTACAACAACTAGCATTTGATTTATCGAAATTTAATTTCAATGAACTGAAGGTATAAATTCAAAACCGAATTTATTAACCGGTTAAGTTCAATTTTACAAACACCTATTACTCCGTTTGTAAGCCTAGAAGATTTTACAGTCACTTTATTTTTTTTTTTTGAGATGGAGTCTCACTCTATCACCCAGGCTGGAGTGCTGTGGCACCATCTGGACTCACTGCAACCTCTGCCTCCCAGGTTCGAGCGATTCTCCTGCCTCACCCCCTGAGTAGCTGGGATTACAGGCACACGCCACCACGCCCGATTAACTTTTTTATATTTTTAGTAGAGACGGGATTTCACCATGTTGCCCAGACAGGTCTCAAACTCCTGGGCTCAAGTGATCCACCTGCCTCGGTCTTCCAAAGAGCGGGGATTGCATGCGTGAGCCACATCGCCTGCCCACAGTCACTTTAAAGAGGCCTCTGCATAATGTTTGGTCCCATCCACAAACTCAATTAAGCAATTTTCTTTCTTTTTTTTTTTTTTTTTCTTCTGAAATGGAGTCTTGCTCTTGTTGCCCAGGCTGGAGTGCAGTGACACAATCTCAGCACACTGCGACCTCCACTTCCTGTGTTCAAGTGATTTTCCTGCCTCAGCCTCCCGAGTAGCTGGGATTACATGTGCCCGCCACTATGCCTAGCTAATTTTTGTATTTTTTTTTTTTTAACGAGATGGGGTGTCACCGTGTTGGCCAGGCTGGTCTCGAGCTCCTGACCTCAGGGGATCCACCCACCTCAGCCTCCCAAAGTGCTGAGATTACAGGAGTGAGCCACCGCACCTGGCCATTTAAGCAATTTTCAACATTACAAACAATTTATAAATTAAGTCTCTTTTCACTCCTTTTTGCATACTTTAGGGTATCTGAATTGACAACAGAATCACTGTTGCTTCAGTAACTCAGTAAATGCATTGGCCTGGTGAAGTGGCTCACATCTATAATCCCACATTTGGGGAGGCCGAGGCAGGAGGATTGCTTAGCCCAGGAGGTCGAGGCTGCAGTGAACCGTGATCCAGTGCACGCCAGCCTGGGTGACAGAGCAAAACCCTGTTTCATTGTAATACTTTTTTTTGGTGGCGGGGGCGGTGATTCTCCTGCCTGGGCCTCCCAAAGAGTTTAGATTACAGGCGTGAGCCACCGAACCTGGCTAAGAACTCATACAACTTAACGGATTCAAATTTTAAATGTGGTGAACCACAGTTATCTTAGATGTTACAAAAACATGCTGATGGCTTTGTGCTGGCAACTGATAAGACTCCCCCAGGAACCCTGCCCAGTGGTAGCCCTGGTTCTGGGCTTCCCATCCTCCCATCTGTGCGTACCATCCGGTCTTAGGGTCTGCAGTTCTGGCCCAGAGTGCACCCTGAGTAGATTCTGCAATTGATTTCTTTCTTTCTTTTCTTTTCTTTTCTTTTTTTTTTTGAGACTGAGTCTTGCTCTGTTGCCCAGGCTGGAGTACAGAGTAACCTCCACCTCCCAGGTTCAAGCAATTCTCATGTCTCAGCCTCTGGAGTAGCTGGGATTACAGGCACCAGCCATCATATCTATCGGGCTAATTTTTTTATAATTTTACTAGAGACAGGGTTGCACCATGTTGGCCAGGCTGGTCTTGCACTCCTGACCTCAAGTGATCCGTCGGCCTCAGCCTCCCAAAGTGCTGGGATTACAGGCGGGAGCCACCACCCCGGCTGATTCTGCAATTCTTTTTTTTTTTTGAGACGGAGTTTTGCTCTTGTTACCCAGGCTGGAGTGCAATGGCGCGATCTCGGCTCACCGCAACCTCCGCCTCCTGGGTTCAGGCAATTCTCCTGCCTCAGCCTCCCAAGTAGCTGGGATTACAGGCACGCGCCGCCACGCCCAGCTAATTTTTTGTATCTTTAGTAGAGACGGAGTTTCACCATGTTGACCAGGATGGTCTCGATCTCTCGACCTCGTGATCAACCCGTCTCGGCCTCCCAAAGTGCTGGGATTACAGGCGCCCGGCCTGATTCTGCAATTCTTTAGTGCCAAAGACATCTGACCTCAATGAGATTCTAAAACGGCTAAGTGCCTTTCCTAAGAGGGGTTGGATGCTGCCATGCCCTTTTTAGCATTGCCAGGACTGCGTATCCCTGAGGATACCTGGCACAGCTTACTGGGACCCTCTCCCAAGCTCCGCAGACTTGCTGTCTTCACCCGCAAAGGCCGGGCTTCAGGCCACCATCCAGGCCGTTTGCTGAGTGCGAGTGCTGAGCTGGGTGAAAGCCAGCAGCTGGTGGGGGGACGTGCGTGGGCACTGCGTCCGGCCCCCAACCCCTTCTGGGAAGGCGTGGGCGTCAGCTGGCAGGAAATACCGGGAAGGGAAAGAAGGAAACGTGACTAGAAAGAAAGAACAAAGCTTCGTTTAAGGAGAACCCTCCGGAGCAGCAGAAATGGGGAAGCAGCTGTGCAGGGTGTCGCGGGGCCCACGCGCGCCCCAGGACCCGCCGGGCGGGTCAGGGCGGGCCCGATGTGCGGTTTTCTGCAGGAAACTGCGCTGGGAACGGCCGGTGCCGTGTAAGATGCGCTGGGCGGGAAAGTGCTGGCCACGCGCGCGTCCACGCAAGCGCGAGGGGCTGCGGCGGGAACTCCGTCTGCCCCCGCGGGCTCCGGCCGCTGAGCTGTGCAGGGCCCGGGTGCCGACCCAGGCAGCGTGGGTTTCGGGCCGTACCGCGGAGACTCCGTCGTGGGCGCCATCGGCCTGGGGATGGAGATGGCCCGGCCCGGCGGCGGTGTGGGGGGACCGTGGGGGGCGCCGGGAGCCGTGACTCCGGGTCTCGGGAGCAGCGTGCCAGGGCCGAGCCCACCGCGCGGTACCCCCGGCCCGCCCAGCCCGGCAGAGGCCCCGTAGCCGGAGGCCCCGCGCGACCCCACGCCAGGACTGCCTAGGAGCCGCGGCCCCGGGGACCCGGCGCTCCCTGGGACGGGAGCCTGGGAGGCGGCTCCAGCGCGAGCACTAGGGGCGCGTAAGCTGAACGTTCCAGCCCCGGGGTCGCCATTCCCAAGGCCCCGCCCCTTCCCCGCCTCTCCGGCCGACAGGCCCCGCCCCTTTCCGCCTTTCGACCCGCCCCTCCCCGTCCCAGCGTGCCGTGCGCAGCGGCAGCGCGCGGGCCTCTGGGGCGGGACTTCCGGCGGGCTGGAGCGGCCTCAGGCCGAGCGTGTGTGGCCGCCCGGCCTCCCTGACATGCAGGTGAGCCCCGCGGCGGCCGCCCCTGCTCCTCCTCCTTGCACGGCCTCAGTGTCCCTTCCGCGAGGTGGGCGCTCCGGGCAGCGAGGCTCCGCCCCGGACGGGACGGGCGTGGGTAGCGGGCGACGCCGGGCGGGCGTGTGAGGGAGCGAGTGTGTGAGGGGCGTGTGTGAGGGTGCAGGGGCGGGGCGGGGTGAGCGGGGCAGGGGCGGGGTGAGCAGGGCAGGGGCGGGGTGAGCAGGGCAGGGGCGGGGCGGGGTGAGCAGGGCAGGGGCGGGGTGAGCAGGGCAGGGGCGGGGTGAGCAGGGCAGGGGCGGGGCGGGGTGAGCAGGGCAGGGGCGGGGTGAGCAGGGCAGGGGCGGGGTGAGCAGGGGCGGGGCGGGGTGAGCAGGGCAGGGGCGGGGTGAGCAGGGGCGGGGCGGGGTGAGCAGGGCAGGGGCGGGGCGGGGTGAGCAGGGCAGGGGCGGGTGAGCAGGGCAGGGGCGGGGCGGGGTGAGCAGGGCAGGGGCGGGGTGAGCGGGGCAGGGGCGGGGTGAGCAGGGCAGGGGCGGGGTGAGCAGGGGCGGGGCTGGGGTGAGCAGGGCAGGGGCGGGCGGGGTGAGCAGGGCAGGGGCGGGGTGAGCAGGGCAGGGGCGGGGCGGGGTGAGCAGGGCAGGGGCGGGGCGGGGTGATCAGGGCAGGGGCGGGGTGAGCAGGGCAGGGGCGGGGTGAGCAGGGCAGGGGCGGGGCGGGGTGTGAGCAGGGCAGGGGCGGGGTGAGCAGGGGCGGGGCGGGGTGAGCAGGGCAGGGGCGGGGCGGGGTGAGCAGGGCAGGGGCGGGGTGAGCAGGGCAGGGGCGGGGCGGGGTGAGCAGGGCAGGGGCGGGGTGAGCAGGGCGGGGTGAGCAGGGCAGGGGCGGAGGGCGGGGCGCGCGTCTGGCACCGCGAGTGGGAGCGAGCCTGAGAGCGAGGCGCGCTGCGTGGAAGGGTCCGGGGTGTGCACACCAGGGATGTGGCCGGCGGGTGTGTGGGCGCGCGGCTCGTGGGGCGCAGTGGCGGCCGGCGGGTCCCCAGGACCCCCAGGGGAGCGGAGGCTCCGGGCGGGCTGCTGCCGGGTGAGGGGCAGGACGGGTGGACGCATCGGATCCCACCGTTGGCTCAGCCCCCACCCTCGAAGGTTCCAGGGCTGTGGACTGTCCGGACCGGAGGGTGACCCGCCTGCCTCGGCAGCCTCCCAGCTCCTAGCCACGTGGGAGACGGGTGTGCGCCCGCACCCCGGAGAAAGACAGTTTCTGTAGAGACCGGGCCTCCGTGTCGCCAAAAGCGGTCAGGAACCCCGGCTCCCGGAGTGCTGGGCTCACAGGCCAGAGCCACATGCGCCGGTTCTTCCGGGGTCAGCTCCGACTGGCTGCTGTGGCTCCACACACGAGCACACGCGCACAGCACGTGTGTACACATGACACACACGGACACATGCACAGCACGTGTGTACACATGACACACGCGCACAGCACGTGTGCACACATGACACACGGGCACACGCGCACAGCACGTGTGTACACATGACACACATGGGCACACGCGCACAGCACGTGTGTACACATGACACGGGCACACGCGCACAGCACGTGTGTACACATGACACGGGCACACGCGCACAGCACGTGTGTACACATGACACGGGCACACGCGCACAGCACGTGTGTACACATGACACGGGCACACGCACACAGCACGTGTGCACATGACACGTGAGCACACACGCACAGCACGTGCGCACATGACGGGCACATGCACACGTGTGCACACATGACACGGGCACACGCGCACAGCACGTGTGCATGCATGACACGGGCACATGCATAGAGCACGTGTGCACGCATGACACACGGGCACATGCGCACAGCACATGTGTACGCATGATACACAGACACACACACAGCACGTGTGCGCACACGACACACGTGTGCCGGGCTGTGACCTAATGCGCATTTTTTTTTTTTTTTTTTTTTGAGATGGAGTTTCGCTCTTGTTACCCAGGCTGGAGTGCAATGGCACAATCGGCTCACTACAACCTCCGACTCCTGGGTTCAAGCAATTCCCCTGCCTCAGCCTCCCAAGTAGCTGGGACTACAGGCGCATGCCACCATGCCCAGCTAATTTTTGTATTTTTAGTAGAGACGGGGTTTCACCTTGTTGACCAGGATGGTCTCGATCTCTTGACCTCGTGATCCACCCGCCTCGGCCTCCCAAAGTGCTGGGATTATAGGCGTGAACCACCGCGCCTGGCCCCTAATGTGCATTTCTTACTGCTGGTCTCCACGGTAAACGCTGCAGAGCCGCTGCTGTGACTCCCATCCTTTCTATCCCCACCAAGGCAGTCCGGAGCTACAACCTGGGACCCCAGGAAAAGGGGGGGGAGCAGTGGCCTCTCCACCTTAGCTTATTACAGAGTGGGTTCTAAGACCCCTTTGGGTGACTAGGGTCGGGGCCTGTGCCTCTTCATAGCACACCACGTTCCTTCTGTGTGCGGGGCCGTTCTGCCCCAGGGAAGGTCTTTGGCATTTGGGGAGGAAACACGTTTTGATGCAGGAACGCAGTCTGTGTGAGTCTGGGAGTCTGTGTTATGTGAGGAGCATGACACAGAAGGTCTCATGTCATGGCCTCAGCAGAGCAGCCAGTGGGCACTGGGGAGCCGGGGAGGTGCCAAAGCCCAGACAAGGCCTGGTTGCAGTGTGAGCACCCCTCACGCATCACACACAGCGTGTCCTGGGGCAGTTGTCTGTAAAGTTCCATGGCAAGTCAGAGAAGCAGCTCAGCACTTGTAGGCATCCTGTATCCAAGCGCTTCATGGCAGAGCTGATGAGCTGGGTGCCGGGGACAGAGGCAGGACCCACGCTGGCCTTGTGCTCAGTCAGCTTCTTCTAGTGCTCCCTCTGCTGCACACAAGCTGGCAGGACTGTCTTCCTCTTCCACGTGGCTAGATCAACTCCACCCCCACCCTTTCCTCTTTCTTCCCTGAAGTGTGAAATCACAGGTCCGGGGGCAGGGTGGTCATAGGCACAAGGGCCTCTAGGTGGGTGGACAGTGGCCCTGTTTCCAAGCTGCAGGACCGCAGGTAGGGGCAGAGACCCAACCCCATAGTGGTTGGTCATTGGGCACCTGGGTGTGCCCTCAAGTTACCCGTGGACCACTCCCCTGGAAAACCACCTCCTGTTTGGTTTTTCATTCCTTTCCTTCCTCCCTGACCCAGGCACCTACTCAGAAAAGAGAGGAGCCGGTGGTCATGGAATGGGCTGGGGTCAGAGACAGGGTGCCTGGAGCTGAGGCAGCCGCTGTTTGAGCCTGGCCAGGCAAGTGAATCTGGGTCGTCTTCCCTGTGCCATGGTCAGAACCCTCCCCACCTTCCCTGGCGCGTTGCTGACTCAGACCAAGCCTGTCAGCTGCAGCAGGAAGGTAGTGGGGCTGGGAGGAGGTGGCGGCAGCTGCCCTTGGTTTTGATTCTGGAATGTGTCACTGAAGAGAGGGGCTGGAGATGTTGGGGGCCGGGGGCACAGGGTGGTGACCTGTTCCTGGGTCTTCTTATCGTCCCCCCCCCCACCCGCACACACACCCTCTCAGAACTGCTGTGGCTGGCTGTTCGGACACTCACTGCCTTTGCCTGTGGCTCCGTGTACTGGGTGCTGCTGTGCTTGCCCTGGGAGTTCCCTTCCTAACTCCTCATAAGCCTACAGCCTAGGTTGTCTTGTGGCTCCCTGCCTCCTAGGTGGGGGAGCTTCACTGGTTGACCTTGCTCCAGAACGATGTTCTCTCCACACAGGTGGCTGTATTTGGTACCAAAGCACAGAAGCTCCCTGTCGGGGGGCGGCCACACTCCCCTCGGTCTGCACCAGGAGCCCTAGTCTCACCCAGGGAAGAGACAGGGCAACGTGGGGCAGCATGCGCCTCTGCAGAAGGAAGCAGGTCAAGGGACAGTTTCAGAGAAAGTGAATCAGGTTCCTGGCCTTTGGGTAGGAGGGTAGGCACTGTAGAAGGCTCTGGCAGCACCTTCTGACAGGAGCACCTGCCTGGCTGGGGTTCCCAGAGCCTCTTGGGCCAGAGCTCCTATATCAGGAGCCTGTGACCCAGGGAAAGGCCGTGTGCCCACCTGCTGGGTAGTGGGCTAGGCTGGCCTCCAGCTGCCCACCTGCCAGGTCTCTACCTCTGCCCAGGCTATGTGGCCTCCTCAGCTGATTTACAGGGGTGATTGGTGCCGCAACTGTGAAACTAGCCAAGAGCTTCTTCCCAGCAGTGTCCTGAAGCTTCATGAAGGACTAACAGCCCGGCTGGATTATGGTGGTGGTTCAACTTCCCCCCGACACCCCCGCAACCCCAGTGAAAGAAAGCAGAATCACTTTTGTGGGTGGTCCCAGAAACTAAAAATGAACAGCATAATAAAAGTTTAGTGCGGGAAGACCAGAAGATACAGATAAAGCAAAAGAGAAGAAACACAATGACCTGTAATTCTGGACATCCTCTTCATATGACCGGTGATTCCGGGCAGCCTGTTGGTGTGACCGGTGATTCCGGGCAGCCTGTTGGTGTGACCGGTGATTCCGGGCAGTCTGATCGTGTGACAGGTGATTCCGGGCAGCCTGTTGGTGTGACCGGTGATTCCGGGCAGCCTGATCGTGTGACCGGTGATTCCGGGCAGTCTGATCGTGTGACAGGTGATTCCGGGCAGCCTGTTGGTGTGACCGGTGATTCCGGGCAGTCTAATCGTGTGACCGGTGATTCCGGGCAGCCTGTTGGTGTGACCGGTGATTCCGGGCAGCCTGTTGGTGTGACCGGTGATTCCGGGCAGTCTGATCGTGTGACAGGTGATTCCGGGCAGCCTGTTGGTGTGACCGGTGATTCCGGGCAGCCTGTTGGTGTGACCGGTGATTCCGGGCAGTCTGATCGTGTGACAGGTGATTCCGGGCAGCCTGTTGGTGTGACCGGTGATTCCGGGCAGTCTGATCGTGTGACCGGTGATTCCGGGCAGCCTGTTGGTGTGACCGGTGATTCCGGGCAGCCTGTTGGTGTGACCGGTGATTCCGGGCAGTCTGATCGTGTGACCGGTGATTCCGGGCAGCCTGTTGGTGTGACCGGTGATTCCGGGCAGTCTGATCGTGTGACAGGTGATTCCGGGCAGCCTGTTGGTGTGACCGGTGATTCCGGGCAGCCTGTTGGTGTGACCGGTGATTCCGGGCAGCCTGTTGGTGTGACCGGTGATTCCGGGCAGTCTGATCGTGTGACAGGTGATTCCGGGCAGCCTGTTGGTGTGACCGGTGATTCCGGGCAGTCTGATCGTGTGACAGGTGATTCCGGGCGGCCTGTTGGTGTGACCGGTGATTCCGGGCAGCCTGATCGTGTGACAGGTGATTCCGGGCGGCCTGTTGGTGTGACCGGTGATTCCGGGCAGCCTGATCGTGTGACAGGTGATTCCGGGCGGCCTGTTGGTGTGACCGGTGATTCCGGGCAGCCTGATCGTGTGACCGGTGATTCCGGGCAGCCTGTTGGTGTGACCGGTGATTCCGGGCAGCCTGTTGGTGTGACCGGTGATTCCGGGCAGCCTGTTGGTGTGACCGGTGATTTGGGGCAGTCTGATCGTGTGACCGGTGATTCCGGGCAGCCTGTTGGTGTGACCGGTGATTCCGGGCAGTCTGTTGGTGTGACCGGTGATTCCGGGCAGTCTGATCGTGTGACAGGTGATTCCGGGCAGTCTGATCGTGTGACCGGTGATTCCGGGCAGCCTGTTCATTTACTTTTTTGTTTTGTTTCTAAAGCTTCCACATTAAGGGGACATGATTTGCTTTTTTTTTTTTTTTTTGAGACACAGTCTTGCTCTGTCATCTAGGCTGGAGTGCAGTGACAATCTTGGCTCAACACAACCTCCACCTCCTGGGTTCAAGTGATTCTCCTGCCTCAGCCTCCTGAGTAACTGGGATTACAGGCGGGTGTCACCACACCTGGCTAATTTTTGTATTTTTAGTAGAGATAGGGGTCTCACCATCTTGGCTAGCCTGGTCTTGAACTCCTGACCTCATGATCCACCCACCTCAGCCTCCGAAAGTGCTGGGATTACAGGTGTGAACCACCACACCTGGCCCCTTTTTTTTTTTTTTTTTGAGATGGAGTCTTGCTCTGTTGCCCAGGCTGGAGTGCAGTGGCACCATCTTGGCTCACCATAACCTCTACCTCACAGGTTCAAGGGATTCTCCTGCCTTAGCCTTCTAAGTAGCTGGGATTACAGGTGTGCACCACCATGCCCAGCTAATTTTTGTATTTTTAGTAGAGATGGGGTTTCACCTTGTTGGTCAGGCTGGTCTTGAACTCCTGACCTCAGGTGATCCTTTCACCTCGGCCTCCCAAAATGCTGGGATTACAGGCGTGAGCCACTATGCCCGGCTTCATCTGCTTTTTAGTGTACCTCACATCATGCTTTTTCTGTGGGACTGGCTGTGTAAGTGCTGCTTTATAGTGTCTGTGTGCCGACTGGCATGTTGAGAGCATGGCAGTGTCTGTCGGTGTTCCAGCATCTGGGTGTGCCAGGTCCATGAACATCCTCAGGTTTTCTGCATATGTGGAAAATCCTGTGGCTGGGCGCAGTGGCTCATGCTCGTAATCACAGTATTTTGGGAGGCAGGTGGATCACTGGAGTCCAGGAGCTTAAGATCAGCCTGCCCAACATGGCAGCACTCCACCTCTACTAAAAACAGAAAAGCTAGCCGGGCGTGGTGGCTCGTGCCTGCAATCCCAGCTACTTGGGAGGCTGAGGTAGGAGAATTGCTTGAACCCTGGGGGTGGAGGTTGCAGTGAGCTGAGATGGCACCAGTGCACTCCAGCCTGGGAAACAGAGCGAGACTCTATCTTAAAATAAATAAATAAATAAGTCCCCCAGAGTGGAATTTGTGAAAGAAATGAAAAGCATGTTGGAGAAAGAAAAAAGCAAAACAAAGTAACAAGAAGAAGTGAAAAAGAAAATGCATGTTGCAAGGTGTATTCATGAGCAGACTGTCGTCGGAAGCGGTTTTCTCACTAATTCCCACTGACAGCTCAGTAGGGTCGCTGGTGGCCAGGTTCTGTGATACCACTTTGCCTTCCTCCTTCATACACGGGTGTGATGCCGTCTTAGTTCAGTGTTTGGCTCTTTGATCGACAGTCAAGCTAAGCTGCTCATTTCTGGGGCTCTGAATGTCTCTTTTATATCCTTCTCATTTGTTATTTTGGGGGGTGGGTGGAGTTTCACTCTTGTTGCCCAGGCTGGATTGCAATGACATGATCTTGGCTCACTGCAATCTCTGCCTTCCAAGTTCAACAGATTCTCCTGCCTCAGCCTCCCGAGTAGCTGGGATTACACGTGCCCAGCACACGCCCGGCTAATTTTTGTATTTTTAATAAGGATGAGGTTGTCCCATGTTGACCAGGCTGGTCTCAACTGCCCGATCTCAGGTGATCCGCGCGCCTCGGCCTCCAAAAGTCCTGGGATTATAGGCGTGAGCCACTGTGCCTCGCCATGGGACATTTTTCTATTAGAGAGCCTTTTCTTGATTTGTAAGATTTATTTGCGTATTACGAATAGATTGTGGTTAGAAATTCGTTGTCAAGTATTTTTCAAATACTTTTTCTGGTTTATTATTTGCCCTCATATTTACTTTTTTATTTTCTGAAAGAAATTTTTACATTTTTATGTAGTTCTACTCTAGCCGCATCATCGTTCGTGATCTCTCCCATTGCTCACATACCTGGAAAAGCCTCCTCCAACCCGAGAGTGTATAGATAAGTATCCGTGTTTTCTCCTAGTGCTTCTGCGGTACCGGCATCGTCGTCGTTAGTATTATTGTAGGCTTCTCAGAGCCTACAACTTTCTGTTTGTTTTGAGAGACAGAGTCTTGCTCTGTCGCCAGGTTGGAGTGCAGTGGCACGACCTCACACCCCTGCCCCTCCACCCCCATTCAAGCAGTTCTCCTGCCTCAGCCTCCCGAGTGGCTGGGACTACAGGCGTGCACCACCACGCCCAGCTAATTTTTGTATTTTTAGTAGAGCCGGGGTTTCACCGTGTTGGCAGGATGGTCTCAATCTCTTGACCTCGTGATCTGCCCACCTCGGCCTCCCAAAGTGCTGGGATTACAGGTGTGAACCACCATGCCTGGCCTCTTCTTTTGAAAAGAGTTTTGCTCTTGTTGCCCACGCTGGAGTGTGATGGTGAGACCTCAGCTCACTGCAACCTCCACCTCCCAGGTTCAAGCGATTCTCCTGCCTCAGCCTCCCTAGTAGTTGGGATTACAGGCATTAGCCATCATGCCTGGCTAATTTTTATGTTTTTAGTAGAAACGCGGTTTCACCATCTTGGTCAGGCTGGTCTCAAACTCCTGACCTCAGATGAGCTGCTTGCCTAGGCCTCCCAAAGTTCTTGGATTACAGGCATGAACCACTGCCCCTGGCCTAAATTTTTATTTTTTATTTTTTATGAGACAGAGTCTTGCTCTGTCGCTCAGGCTGGAGTGCAATGGAGCAATCTCGGCTCACTGCAGCCTTTGCCTCCTGGGTTCAGGCGATTCTGCTGCCTCAGTCTCCCGAGTAGCTGGGATTACAGGCTCCCGCCACCACACCCAGCAGTTTTTTTTTTTAGACGGAGTCTCACACTGTTGCCCAGGCTGTAGTGCAGTGACACAATCTCTGCTTATTGCAATCTCTGCCTCCTGGGTTCAAGCAGTTCTCCTGCCTCGGCCTCCCGAGTAGCTGGGACTACAGGCACACGCCACCACACCCAGCTAATATTTTTGCATTTTTAGTACAAATGGGGTTTCACCATGTTGGCCAGGATAGTCTCGATCTCCTGACCTGGTGATCCGCCCGCCTCAGCCTCCCAAAGTACTGAGATTAAGGCATGAGCCACCGTGCCTGGCCAATTTTTGTATTTTTAGTAGAGATGGAGTTTCACTATTTTGGCCAGGCTGGTCTCGAACTCCTGACCTCATGATCCACCTGCCTCGGCCTCCCAAAGTGCTGGGATTACAGGCATAAGCCACCATGCCCGGCCAATTTTAATTTTTTTGTAGGATCTCACTATGTTTTCCAGGCTGATCTTGAACTCCTGGGCTCAAGTAATCTTCCCACTTCAGTCTCTCAAAGTGCTGGGATTATAGGCATGAGCCTCCATGCCAGGCCTGTGGCTGTGTTATTTTCCACGTAAGCCTTGCCATGGTTGGGCTTTCTTTGGATTTGAAGGAGGAGGTGGGAACCAGTGTTTTCCTGGATTTGAAGGAGGAGGTGGGAACCAGTGAAGGGCCAGTGGTGGTCAGGGCGGCCTTGGGCTGCGAGGGGAGGACTCTATGTCTGGTAGTGAGGAAGCCCCTTTCTCAGTGTCTGGGAGGAACTGGCGGCCCCGTCAGGAGGCCCAGGAGTACTGGAGAATGGACTCTGGCTGCCAGGGCTGGCCCAGGGCAGGGCTCTGTCCCAGTGGCCAAGGCCTCACCCGGTGCCATGAGGACCCAGGCCCTGTTAGGAGAAGGTGGTCCCATCCGCAGAGGGGTTGCCCGTGTGGCATTTCTCTGCTGGTTGTTTGAATGTGCTCTGCTCTCCCTGCAGCCCTCTGGACCCCGAGGCCGGACCCTACTGTGACACACCTACCATGCAGACACTCTTCACACTCCTCTGGCTTACTCTGGCCTGCGGCCCTGTTCACACTACTCTGTCAAAGTCAGATGCCAAAAAAGCTGCCTCGAAGACGCTGCTGGAGAAGGTAGGGGTGGCCTGGGGAATTGAGGTGACTGCACTGGCTGAGGGCTGATCCATCATCTTCTTCTCCTTTCTGTCCACTGGGGCCTGGAGCCAGGAGGCTCGAGGGGCTCAGCTCCTTACAGAGGCACCCGATGAGCTTGCAGCTGGCAGGCAGCCTGTGTGGTTCGGGGGCTCCGGGCAGTTAGCGCCTCTGAGTGAGCAGCCTCTGGAGCCAGGTTTTGAGGGTAAGCGGGGTGCATCCCCACTCACCCCACTTGGGGCTTATTTCGTTTTTTTTTTTGGTTTTTTTTTGAGACGGAGTCTTACTCTGTCACCAGGCTGGCGTGATCTCAGCTCACTGCAACCTCTGCCTCCCAGGTTCAAGGGGTTCTTCTCCCTCAGTCTCCCAAGTAGCTGGGACTATAGGTGGGCACCATCACACCCAGCTAATTTTTGTATTTTTTAGTATAGATACGGTTTCACTATGCTGGCCAGGATGGTCTCAGTCTCTTGACCTTGTGATGTGCCCACCTTGGCCTCCCAAAGTGCTGGGATTACAGGCCTGAGTCACAGTACCTGGCCCTTTTTTGTTGCTGTTGAGACAAAGTATCGCTCTGTTGCTCAGGCTGGAGTGCAGAGCGCAATCTTGGCTCACTGCAACCTCTACCTCCCGGGTCCAAGCAACTCTCCCGCCTCAGCCTCCCGAGTAGCTGGGATTACAGCATCCACCACCACACCGGCTAATTTTTGTATTGTTGGTAGAGACAGGGTTTCGCCATGTTGACCAGGCTGGTCTCGAACTCCTGACCTCATGATCCACCTGCCTTGGCCTCCCAAAGCGCTGGGAGTACAGGCCTGAAGCACACACCCTGCCAGGGCTTGTTTTCTGTTCAGTTTCCATCCTCGCCTCTTGCTTAAAGCACCTGCATCTTCATGTTGCTGTCTCCCTCGTGGCTTTGAGCTGTTTGCCTCATGCTCTTTGGGCTGTTCCCCTGGGGTGGCCCTGGAGCTTGCACCTGCTGGGGTGTGAACTCATAGAACCAGCCCTCAGCCCCCGCACTCCCCATGCCGCTGGCTGGACCCTGCCACAGGACTGTTGCTGTGACTTAGTTCTGGACTGGCAGATGCTCTCTGTGCTGTCTGGGAGCAAATGCACCACACGATGGGCATCTCTCTCTCACGGGGGCCCTTGGGGCAAGGTCAAGGGGAGGTTGAACCAGGCCACCCTGTCTGGAATGTGGACAGAAGAGACGACTTGATAGCAGGATGGAGGGTTTCCAGGAGCAGAGGTGGGGTCGGGGGAGGTGTGACATGGCAGGAAGAGGTCACATTGGCGGGGGTGGTGCCAGGCAGTGGTTGGCCAGCAGGGTGGCATTTGCCTGGCATGTCACATTCTTTTTTTTTTGGTTGAGAGAGAGTCTCACTCTGTTGCTTAGGCTAGAGCGCGGTGGCGTGATCTCAGCTCACTCCTCTGCCCCTCAGGTTCAAGCAATTCTCCTGCCTCAGCCTCCCGTGTAGCTGGGACTACAGGCATCCACCACCATGCCTGGCTAATTTTTGTATATTTAGTAAACACGGGGTTTCACCATATTGACCAGGCTGGTCTTGAACTCTTGACCTCAGGTGATCCACCCCCTCCCTGGCCTCCCAAAGTGCTGGGATGACAGATGTACGCAACTGCACCCGGCCCACCTGGCACATTCTTGTCCAGCAAAGAGTGTGGCCCTGGATGGGTGTAGGTGGCCAGAGCTGGTCCTGACAACCCTCACATGCATGGAGGGAGCCACTGTAGCCATCTGCCTGCCTTCCGTCCCGGAGCAAGGGTGGGAAAGGCCTGTACAGGCAGCCAGTGTCTGAACTGAATTCCCTGCTGTGGCCTCGATCCTATCCATGCAAGGCCTCCGGGTCAGCAGCACTGTGTTGATCCAGACACTCAGTTTTTGGCTGAATGGAAGTGTCTACACTGAGGACAGATGACTGACAGCTTTCTCTTGTTCCTTTTATTTCAGAGTCAGTTTTCAGAGAAGCCAGTCCAAGACCGGGGTTTGGTGGTGTCGGACCTCAAAGCTGAGGACGTGGTTCTTGAGCATCGCAGCTACTGCTCGGCCGAGGCCCGGGACAGACACTTTGCTGGAGATGTACTGGGCTACGTCACTCCAGTGAGTTGGGTCCTTACAGTGCAGAGGGAGGTCCTGAGGCTCAGACGGGCTGCCCTGGGCCTGTGACGGCCTCCTCTGGCCAGTCAGCGATGCGGGTCTGTCTTCTCTCCCCGGGCTGCCGCTGCTGTGAGGCCACAGGGAGATGTCGGAGTATGAGGCGCTGGGCTTCTCTCCGGGGCTTGCTGCGGGACCTCTGCGTTTCCCGCTGAATCCAGAGGTGGGCCCTCAGGTTGTCTGTGGTCAGGAAGCAGGTGTGCTTCCTCGGCCAGGGACGGGGAGGTTCTCACACCCAGCCTCCTCTCCTCTTGCTGTTCCCAGCTGCCGGCTTGCAGCCGTGGTGTGCGCTAGCTCAGGGCGGGGCTTGAGATGAGCACCAGTCACTTCTTTTGGTGAAAGGGATATTGTGGCCTGGGTCCCAGGCTGTGAGCAGCAGTCCAGAGCCGGGGAAGGATGCCCCAGACCAGGAGCTGACATGAGTCAGCGCTGACAGCTGTCTACACTGGCCGGCCCTGGGCACGTGCAGAGCCACCAGAATGACAGCACCATGGTGAGGCAGGAGCTCGCTCACCTGTCCTTCATCTGATGTCTCCGCCCTTTGTCAGTGGAACAGCCGTGGCTACGATGTCACCAAGGTCTTCGCGAGCAAGTTCACACAGATCTCACCCGTCTGGCTGCAGCTGAAGAGACGTGGCCGTGAGATGTTTGAGGTCACGGGCCTCCATGACGTGGACCAAGGTTCTCATCCTTCTTGCTTGACTGTGCTTGCCCCACAGGCTGAAAAGAGTGTGAGTGCGAGAGCAGGTGTGTGTGTGTGTGTGTGTGTGTAAGTGTGAGACCGATGATGTGGGAGAGGAGAGATTGTGTGTCAGATGTGACTGTGGGTGTGGACATGTTTAAGTGTGTGTGTCATGACCTCAAGGCCCATGCCCTCACCCCTGTGGCTGAGCCTGGAGGGCAGGCCCATGGTGTGGGCTGGGACTGGGTAGGAAGGTGAGTGGGGCAGGGCAGGGCTGGTAGAGGGCCTGAGGTGGTTGCCACTGTGCCACCCTCTACAAGGCCAGAGTGGTCCGCCTGGCTCTGCTCCATGGTGCAGGTGGCTGTGAGGTGGGTCTTCCCCGCGCCTCCAGGCAGCACCCCGAATGTGCAGGACACACACTGCGATGACTCAGGCAGCCTCTGGGCAGTGAAGGACACAGGCTGTTGGCTTCTTTTCCTCTGTCCCTCCCCTAGCAATTTTCACTCAGCGCCAGGGAGGAGGGTGGGGTTCAGGCAGAGGCTGTCCCCTGATGGCATATCCTGATGACTTCTGCCCAGGTTTACATGACCACGCCTTGTGTTCGGTTCGGACAGAGATGTGGCAAGGGAAGTGTTAGCCGGTTTCAGAGTTCAAGAGCAGGAGTGCTTTTCCCTGACACTGGGAGAACCGTGGGGAGATGATGGAGTGTCAGCCAGTGACAGGCCTGGTGGGTCTGGCCACCCCTCAGCTCAGAGAAACCCTGACCTTCCCCAGGCCCTGGGATGCAGCTGCCTGTCCCCCTGGCCAGCCACAGGCCCTGAGCTGTCCCAGCTCAGGGAGGCAAGCTCAGAGAGCTGCTCTGCAGGTTCAGGAGGGGGCCTTGGCCAGGAGGCGGTAGGGTGAGGAAGGGGGGTACGTAGGGCCGCCCTGGGCCGGGGAGGGTGGATTCTCACACCCGCCTCCCCCACCTGTGCCGTTCCTGTTGCATATCCTGCGGCTGCCACGTTTTCTGCCTCAGGTGGGTTGGGTCTTCGGCTGGGCTGACTGTCCCTTCCACGTCCCACAGGGTGGATGCGAGCCATCAGGAAGCATGCTAAGGGCCTGCACATAGGTGAGTCCGGCAGGCCGGGATGGCACAACCTCCGACGGTGGACAGGTGGGCTCTGCGGTCTCCCCATGTTACTGATCATCCAACTGTGGGGCTCCGGCACAGGTCATTCCGGCTGCTCAGAGGCGAGGTGGCCCTGGCCTGGCTGGAGTCCTGGGCTCTGCCCACACAGGCTGTAGCCTGCCAAAGCCAGGCCTCCTTGGCTGATAGCGTTGCCCTCGCTTCTGCCTCCATTTTTCCTTCCTTCACCCGATGAGCCCTCTTGGGGCTGCTGGGGCCAAGTCCTGGGCTCAGCCTGAGGGTGATGCTGACCCTGGCCCACCTGTGCCCCTGTAGCTCACGGCTGGGGAGGAAGGGGCAGGTATCCCCACATCCAGTGGCAGCCTCAGAGGCAGTGAAGTAAGAGTGTGGGTTGCTGAGGGAG